ATTGTATACTTTAAGTATGCAGTTTATTGTAGGTCAGTTATGCCTCAGTAAATCTGTTTTATAAAAGCTCACAAGTTAGCATGAGTCTCTAAACTTGAGCTCTGAAATGCAGTGACAGTGCCCTAGGCCTCATGCCCACTGAACTCTGGAAGACAAATTCTGCCCACTGTTATCACCTGAGAGAACACCAGGCTGTTTTGACTCTTTTCCTGGGAAGACGAAGTGACACAAATGTCTACTCACCCCAGATAGAGAACCAAGGACAGACTAGAGGAAGGCAGGTCAGTCTCGTCAGCTGTCCCTACTGTTTAAGTTGGGGAAGGAAAGGTTTTGTGCATCTGGCCAGTTTCACTGACTTCTTGAGACTTCTGAGTTGCTTAGTTCCTGAGTATTAAGGAGCCTCACTTCAGAATGTCCTAAGTTTAGAGTTTTCACATGTGAGCACATTTGTGCATGCATGCAAAAGTATCACCTGAGCAAAAATAGCACTGTACAGCGGAACAAGTACTGGCAGGAAACTGCATCTTTCTCTGTTCCTTCACAATATTTCAGACATTCCGAATTCTCTAAAGACCTCAAAATTGGTTTGAAAGGCAAGCAAGCACATTACTGTCACAATGCTTCATCAACATGCATTGTGACAGTTACTGTGATTAGAAGTACCATATTACAGATAGCACTCGACAGTAATGAGGGTGGAAATGCCTCTGGGAAGCATGCATGTCCCTGGAGTGCACAGCCTGTGGGATGTTTTGGTTACGGAAAACCAAAAAAAAGAGGGCATCACACTTTAGCTTTCCCCGGGGATCTGAGTCAATGGGTATCTTGCCACTGTTCCTTATGTACTCTCTAAATGCATGTGAAATCACACATTCAATACATTTCAAGAAGGTAATCATGGAAGCCACCCTAAATCATTTAAGGTGGGAATGAAATTTGAAGCAACAGAAAAAAACCCTTATGTGCTAAAACCAGCAACAAGGGGGTGTGCGGATAAACACAAAGTTCATATTATATTTGATGGCTGGAGAGGAGCATCTGACTATTGCTGTAAATATTCTCAAACTATCTTCCCAGTTGGGTAATGACACTTGAGATATGTCTTACAATCTTCACTGACGGGCATTAGTACAAAAGTCTAGTAAGTCACAATCTGTTCTTGTATTTAGACAAGTTTTTGATGTACTTTCTGTAGAAAATTGCTCTGGGCCACCAGAAGAGCAGGTCAGAAAATCAACTTCAGATTTCACTCTCAAGAGTAAGTTCCTTGGAAATGTTTCCTTGAGAAAGGAAAAAAAAAGCACAAAATTAGAGGGGGTGGGGGAGGCAGTCTTTCCGGTTGGTCAGGTTTTTAAAATCTCTCTCTCTCTCTCTCTCTCTCTCTCTCTCTCTCTCTCTCTGTGAGAGATCTGTATGTGGTTTGGTGTACGTGAGTGCAGGTGTCTGTGGATGTCAGGGGCACTGGATTCCCTGTAGCTGGAGTTATAGGCATGCGATATGGGGGTTGGGAACTGAACTCAGATCCTCTATAAGAGCAGTACATGCATTAATCGCTCATCCATCTCTCCAGTCCAAGACTCTTTCAGTCTTGTGTTCTACATCCTTGTGTAAAGTTGCTAGAAAGAGAAATCAGACTTCTGTTTGGCAAAGGATATCATTGAGAGGACTACAGTGATGTCTGCAATCAATGACATTGGTGGTCTGAGTCACACAGGGGACATGGCTCACCTGAGTAAGAAGATATTCCAGGAGCTACTCAAGATCTCTGGCCAGAGTCCATGGCACTGATACTCGAGCAAGCTGTGCAGACACAGGAAGACTATGTGTGCTCTCCAAGCCAACAGATCTTGGATTCCTCCATAGAGGAGACGTGGTAGCGACCTCCTCTGGTGGGGGAAAACATCTGCAGACCACTGAAGACCGAAATGATTAAAATCAGGCAGCAAGAACAGACATACCAGGAAACAAAAGTACCACAAGTTGTCAGGGGCCTCAACCTTCTGTTACCCTCCGCTCACTGAGCATGCTGTCAGAGAAGTAGATGTGCCAGGACCCTGGCTTATGAAGAAAGAGCATGCCTGGGAGAGCAAAACCTTTTGGAAAAACCGACTAATTGAACAAACTATTAGTCCTGCTGGAGAAATTCCACAAACTTTTACCTCCATCATAAAATAATTTTAAAATTGAGTCCATATCCAATGTGTGGAATCCCTCCCCTGTTCTAGACACACTGTCATTAACCTTTGTCAAGGACCAGAACATGAAGTGAGGAAAATCCACATGGAGAGGAAAACTGGCGGATCAGTGGAACCCAACCTCCACATACTGAAAACAAAGTTCTACCATGACCTTCCAAACTGGTTTGGAGAGAAATGTGAAATAAATGGAGCTTCCTTTTTAAAGGGTTTTGACAAGATAAGCATCTGTAGCGATGCAAACTCCAGATGGCACTAGATGAAGGACAAGTCTTATAAGGTCAATCCTGTGATACTCAATGGGAGAGATGTATATTTTTTTCATTTTGGGGGGGGAAGATAATTTCAGTGCCTGGAGACCATACATATTTAATCATTATCTTTCTGGACACTCTAGAAAATAAAGGAAATTACTCCTTTTGATTCAAGAAATTTAGGTTCGAAACATGGGCTAAGTTCACGCACATCTAGCTTCTCTGTTCCCTACTTTCTGCTTTTGCTGACTATTATTCTCTGGAAGGGGGTACCAACATTAAGTCTACCAAAGGGGCTAATATGGAAATTTCCTTCCATCTTGGACAGTCAGAGTTTGTGTCTTGGGCCCACCGAGACACAAACAAGGGCATTGCATTGCTTCAGTGCCCAAGGGCTTAAAAGATACTGGGTTATTAACTCCAACAGTGATTATGCTTTATGTACTGCACTCTGTTAGAGTAGATAGCTCTGCTCTATGAATGATCCAACTGTTGGGCTACTCTGTTACTGACACTGGTGAGAAAAGAGCTCCAGATATGAACCACATAATTTTTTACAAATGAACTTAAAGTAGGTAGGAAATTTAAAACACACACACACACACACACACACACACACACACACCACACACACTCTAATCCATCATTGACCATCTAAGAAGCTTTAGTTGAGAGGTTAATTAACATTGCCTCACACAACTTGCCTCCACATTCTTTCTGTTTAGGTGACATTTTTATCTGCGTTGGTTACTAGGCAGAGCCCCTTAATCTTTTGATCTTAGGGATACAGGTTTTCTTACAGATTAAAAAGATTACTTAAGGCTCAGAGAAATTAAGCTGTAATAATGAAAGGTCTTATCAGTGGAACCAATTACTGGAATCACAAAGTCAGTGTTGGGCCTCAAATACACAATTTAATATCTTGTCCA